CTCATGCCAAGTATTTCTTTATTTGAAACAAAGATGAATTCTGCATAGTTTTTTGAAAAGTGCAAATTTAACAAAGACTAATAGGGGGAAATCAATGGTGGTATTACACCTGGACAGTAAAAGTAATTCTCGTATTTATTTTCATACATCAGCCTAATTAAATTGTTTTACCCACTTAGTCTTATATGAAAGTGAAAGTTATTTGAATCTAACATAGATTTTCACATGTTTATTTCTAAAACTTTTTGACTTGATATAGTTTCCTATTCAGATTTTCAGCATGCAGGAAATTAAAAAGTATACTTAACATTATTTAGTTTAACAATTGTAGCAAACCTTTAACTGATATTCATTCTGGTGTGAAATAACATGTTTTAATAATAAGTAGTTAATGTTTATAACCATTGCATTGCATTCATAGTGTATTTGAAATGTCTTCATTTTTCACAAAAATCAATATTAATTGATAAGGCTAACCACATGTTACAATAAAATTATGTTTTTACTTCTTTTCAAAATCAATGAAGTTAACGGACATTTAAACAGTTCGTATTCTTGGAATTTATGATCACATTTATTTGGAACATGGATTGAAGTCAGAGACTAAACATTTTGAAAAAAGAAATGTGATGTTCTTTACTCAAATTTATCTTTTCAACATTATTTACAGTGAAGGTTTTTATGAATTTAGATCAAAGCATAGAGGCAAGTATTCATATAAGGAGTGATTGCTACAAAACAAAAGGGTACATCTCAATCTAGTTAAAGGACCAACTTAAACTGATGCAAGCAACAAATCCTTGATTTTTTCTCTCTGTTGCATAGAGCTCTTTCCATTCATAATCCAAGTATTGATTGGTTCTGCAAGGTAGGACATATTGCATATTCTAATCAGGGTTTTATAACACCTTTCCATCTGTGTTGATATAACTTCTAAAGATAATAGACATACATGTATTGATAAAAGGAGATGTGAGGTAGAAGTCCAGAAGACAGCAACCCAAAAGCACAATCAACCTTAAAAGACATCCAGAAAACAATGAATCATCTTCAAAAAGAGACAATTGTCAGTACAATATGTCAAGTTCCAAATTGTTCCCAAGTCTCAGAAACATTGTAAATGAACTGAATAGAGACTATCAAATATCTGCCACCAACCCCATATTCCCATTAGGACAAAATAGCCATAGAAATAATTTGTGACAATGGCATTGTCTTTGGGGATATATTTTATATATTTTTACAGGTTTTTGTACTCATTTTTGTGTTTTCATTTACTTTTTGAAACCTGAAGCACGGTTGACCAGTATGATCAAATTCTGCTTAGTGTATAATTGTTTCAAATTTAAGAAATACAAAAAGTAAGAAAATTAAGATTGAGTAAACAAAAACCTCAAGTTGAAAAAAGATGGACAACACAATGGCCAAAATAAAAAAAAACGCAAAATGACAGTTCACTAAACACTACATAGTACATTGAGCAACAAGAACCTAATTGAAAACACGGGTAACTCCGGTGTTCTGGAAGGGTAAGTAGTTCCTGCTCAACCAGTGGCACCTGTGTTCGATGTAAGTGAGGATTCTGTAACATTAATGAGCAGATGATCATAAGAAAAGAACACAAAGTATTTGAAAGTGAAAACTCTTTAAAACTTCAGTCAGCTTCGACTTTCCTACGCAAACTTTGGAAACGGCTTATGATTAGTGTATTTGGGTAGAATATTTACATAAATAGGATTTGTTATATAACAGTGCTTATATTTTCTAATTTAACCCTAATTTTCACTTTAGGAATTAAATTTTCCTCAGATACTTTATAAAGGAACTATGTATCTTTGGTTGAAATCAAGATTGTAGTATATTGGTATTATATCCATAACAGAGAATTTTTACAAGACATATTTTTTTTATGTTTTCTAAGGTATGTTAGAAATAAAACTTTTCTCTGTATTATCATGAAAGATTTTCTTTAACAAGACTTTACATTCACTTTGGTGACCTTACAGAGTATACATAAAAGTTTAATAGTTGTCCACATGTTATAATAAATTGTTTACATTGTAAACAACGATTTGATCAATCCAATTATCACTGGTTAATAATCAATACAAAATTACCTCTCTTCTTCCAAACATTGCCCAGAAGCAATCTTTCACTGCATGATTTAAATGTTTCGTTTCTTACATGTCACGGTCATGTTTAAAATGTGTATTAAAACAATCAAAATTAAACATGTGTGGCATAGACATTGAAATTTAGTTGTGATTATAAACCCGTGAAGAGAACAGAAAAAAACTTGTAATATAAGTATATGCCCCGTCAACCATGTTGAATTCCTAGTATTGTTATTTAAATGTGCTGAAGGTAACTAGCCCTTCTGATTACCTGTGAAGAAACGGTTTCACTTTGTTGATAAGGTCCGTCAAACTTCTGTCTCGGGAATTTTAAAATTCAGTTTTTGATTCTTTATTTGGATTAATTTGTACATTTTTGTTTGGATTAATTCATTTTGTTCATTTCGTTAAAATGGTAAGTTTATGAATTATTAAATGATTATGAATGGAATAAATATTATGAAACATACCTGTTCAGGTATATTTTGACACCTGTAATCAATTCACTAATTATAACTGTCAATAAGTGTTTCTGTTGAAAATGCATGATAGAAAAGGATGAGTTAGTTTGAAGACTTTGGAATTTTAATTTTTTTATAGCTGTTATTAAAATTATATTTTCAGAAAATTAAAAGCAATTTTTACTATTTCATTCTTTTTTTAAATGGCAGGTGTGGCCTTTAAATTTTTTGTTGTCAAGTTTTGATATCAAATTATTGAAGTATGACAGCAAGTATAAAGAAATGTCAGGTACTAAAGTTTAATCTATAACATTGTTTGAAAGTATGAAACATACAAAAGTTGTAATAAAAAAAGACATATACATGATTTCTTTACAGCAATGATTGCTATTTTATTTTATTATTTTATTATTTGGTTTAGACCTGATTTACAGTAAAAACATTGTGGTTTATGTAAAAGTTCAATTTTAAGTTCTTGTATAAGTACATGTACTTTGGTAATTCTGATAGGAATTTAATCAGATTTAAATGACATCATATGATGTAAAGTTTTAAAGGCATTATTTAAAAAAAAACATAATGTTACTTAATTTGATAGGAACTTAATTTTGCCTGCGAATTTGTTTGTACTTGAACATGAAATATTAAAGTACTCAATGAAATAATCTGCTGATTAAACATGTATGATTTCTTAGTCTGACTTGGAAATTTGATGAAATTTGAAACTTTGAACATCACTGTTTAATTTATTTGAAATAAGTAAATTACTTTTAAATTGAAGTTTCATTATAACAGGTAGATCAAATATCCTGTTAAATAAGTTTAAATTTATTTTTTTATATAAAAATCACACTTGTGTCTTGATAAATGAATTTTCCTACCCCAAATCAACAACTGAAATTAAAGATGTGTCTGAAAAAGTAAGAATTTTGCTATTAAACACACAAGTAAAGAGTTAACATTCTATACATTTTCACCAACACACAAGAACATAATTTCCAGTTAATTGTGAAATGTTACAGTTTTGAATTAATTACTTTTTTCAGTTAGATGAAGAATATGTAAAGACATTTGTATTATCTTCAATATCAAATAATTTCTTTTTTGTGCATCATAAATGCTTTTCATAAATATTTTAACAGCCTATAGTTGCTCACATCTACGTCACTTGGTTGGTCTCTGGTGGATAGTTGTATCATTGGCAATCATACCACATCTTATTTTTTTTTATTAAGTTTGTAAGTGAGACCGTTAATTAATGGATTTATTTCATTGAAAAAATGATTGTTTTGATACTTTTTTTATTCTGGAAACTTTTTGACATAATCAAATTACTTGATAATTCAATTAAGTAATTATTACACATTGAAGCAAACCACTTATTGATTCAATAACTGTAAGCAGACTCTCATTGGTTTTCAAATAGAATAAATTTATCTGTGGAATTATTTATAAGGTTATGATAGCAAAAGATCTATTAACACAGTTAAGTTTAGTCCACTTTCCTACAGTAAACAAATTTTTTATATGTATACATTTGTTACGACACTTATAAAAAAAATTTTGACAGACTTTTTTTAAGAAATTAACTAACGTTTTCTAATTTTGATAAAGAACACAGAGAAAGAAGGAGGGGGGGGGGGGAGGGGAGGGCAATTGACCCGTGACCTGTTCCTAGCTGATGAACAAAGTACATTCTGTATAGAAATAAAAAGATGCTGTATAATTATCATTGAGACAACTATCCAACAATTAAAGCACATTGAAGATAACCTGCACAATTTATATTCTGTATGTGCAAAATGTATGACCCTATATTATGATTTTGGATGACTATTGGCATGAAAACAAGTTGCTCTTAGATGGTAGTTTTATTTTTATTCAACTTTTAAAATTTATCCTAATTTCTGATATCTCTTTTAGGTTTTTTGAAATTAATGAAAATTTTATAAATAAAGGTTTTCTCTCTAATTATAACATAGATTACATGAAAGTTGAATTACATTTTGATCTCACAAAGGTTTTATTTGTTTCAGAACCAGGAAATTGCTTTGATTGATATTATCTGTTTAAATTACAGAGCAGTAATAAAGTTCGTCACAAGTTTGTCATAAGTCCATCATTGAACCAACAATTTCAGAATTATCAAGGTTTTGTCAAAATGTATAATGTCATTTATGTTACATATGGAAAAAAGCAGGTTGACAAATTACTTATCAATTTCCTTGTAATGAACAATTTCTCTAACAAAACTTTTTTGAATTTCTTTGTTTTTGCAACTGGTCGATCAGATGTGAACTGACAGGCAATAATCTGAATTCTTTTATAGATGAAGAAGTACAGATGACCTCTATAGATTGATGTCAATTTCATTATGACATTGTCATAAAACTCTTTGATCATATCTGTGTTGTTATTATTGTAGATGTAATTGATACAAAGTGAAATGGACATGATTGACAAGCACCTGTCACCAATCTACAGGTAAACTCCAGGTAAGATGTAATTAAATTTGACATTGATTAGGGGAAGGACTTCCTTGAAATTGAAAAAAAAATGTAAATGTTTGAAAAATATAAAAAAATGTACCTGATTTGAACCTTTTAAAAGACCCCAAGTGTGACTTGGGAATAGAAATAGGTCACTCTTTGTCTTCTTACTACCAGCAGTATAACCCTTGCCATAGTGGGGGGTCAGCTTGGTTGTGCAGGATGTATAAATAGCAGCCACATCCAGTCAGAAAAGTTTCAGTCTCTATCCTATTTATCCTCATTTTCCAGTGGCAGTCCAAATATCCTACCTTTCTTCCCAGTTGACCTTTTACAGGATCTTCTTGTATGTATTGGTAATTTGTTCTCGTCTTGAACATGCATGAAATATTTACCAATGGACATTAAGCAACCAACAATCAATCATTGAACCTTAGGGACATTTTGTAGATGTATATGTATAGTTTTAACCCTTTGGGATTTAGAGTGCTCATTGATGCTAGTTTCACAAATAAAACATGAAGCAAGTATTAACAAAAAAAAAATTAAGTTTGGAATTTATTGAAATTATCAAGACTAAAGACAAAATAAATCAAATACTAGACTGTGACAACTAAAACAAAGTACAGAGGGTAAATAAAGATGTAAACAACTTAAACAAAATCCAGGGATCAGAATTCAACAGCTTAAATAGAATTCAGAGATCAATACTAGACTGGAATAACTCAAATAGAAATCAAGAGGTCAGAACAAGCAGACAACAACAACAGAGGCCAATGATCGGCAGACTGAAATCTAGAGTACAGTACATAGCAGACGACAGACAAAAAAGAGAGCAGTACTATGTAGACAAATAAATGACTAATAATTTGAGAATTTACTGTACAACTTGCAGAAAACCAGGAGTGATATATGCATTCATCCTGCTTTGCATGATGCATTCATTACACCTTGTACTGGTCAAAGCAAGTAATGATAATTTTTTGATTAAATTAAGGGAAGCAAAAACACTGAGAATAGCATGTGTTTCCAACAATATAAAGATGAATGTTTTATAATCAGTCAGAAACAACATACATGTGCTTACATTAAATTCAAATGCTTACAAATATCACGTAAAGTACTGTATCACACTGAAGTAATGAACTGCCTTGAATATAATAGTTCTCTACTTCAGCTTGCATGAATAATGAAAACTCAGTATGCATTACATGTAGAAAAAATACTGATTGATTGATATCGACATTAAAGGTATTTTGTTCTAAAGGTTGAAAAAACATTTTATATTTTACGTGAAATATGGACTAATTTCAGTAAGCCTCCTATCTTTACAAAAGCTTAATTTTTCTTGATCAACATATCTAGTATTGTTTGCTGAATAAGCAAATTTTAGGCTTTTCTTTATTTATTGGATTCCAACATTGGTTAGAAAAATCAACCAGATTATGCTGAAATGTAATATGATTTTTTTATATCAGTAGCACTGCCAAGTTGTCATAAATATTTATGGTGTATAATATTGTTTGTAAACTTGGCATGTTGCTCATTGAAGGATACTTCACAATTCAAACAAATATCAATGATCATTTTATCACCACTTATGTAAAGTCATACTGTATATTAAAGTTATCAGAGCATGAATATCCTCATGAATCGGGTAGATGTCTATTTGTTTAAGAAAATATTTAGACTCCAATACTTATATATTCATATTTTGTATTAGTATTATCTTGTCTACTATGTACTGTATGTGCTGTCATTCTTTTGTATCATTGTTAGAATATCAGTAATGTCAAATCTCAGGTTAAAGTAAGAAACAAACAAATTATCAACAAGAAATTTGAATATATATTTTGACAATTAGAATCCTTTACACATATAACCATTTTTTTTTGTATTTCTCAAATCCAGAATTATGTGTGTTTAATTGGATTGATTTATTTGACAACCTTTATATATTTTTCTTAAAGTTCTCTACAGTAACCTATTCCAGCAGCTCATCTCTACCAGTCATTACATAGTAGGTGCCCCTTCCTGGGTAAATGATACTTTGTAAAAATATAAAAATGAATAATTGAAAATGGGATATTGGGTTGGCACAACTAAAACATACATATATCAAAGGAGGGGTCTCAGTGGCTATGTGGTCTTAGTAGATCATCTATATTGACCACAAGCCTGTGAACTCTGATTTTTTTAGTTCAAACCCTGCCTATGGGAAGGTGTGTTTGACCCTGATCTCAATTGACAAATATAGCCAGCTTTCCTGCAGGAGGTTGTGGTTCTCACCAGGCACTCTGACTGTCTCTTCCAATACTGGCCACCTTGATATAGCTAAGGTCGCTGAAAGTGGTATAAAACACAAACAAAAAAAATTATATATATAAAAAGAACAGTACTTATTGCTGTTCTTCATCTTGCAGTTGCCAGATGGTCTTCAACTATTAGCTGAGGAAGTCTTGCCTTCCATCAATGTCAATTTGATCCCTATTATTGGCTAAATTAATATTGTTTCAACTGATTGATAACTGATTATTGAATGATGATTCTATTTGTTAGATTTGAAATAAATTGAATGGTAGGTACACGATGTATGAGTTCTAGATTTATCTTTAAAGTCAGATTGAGTTGAGAAACACTGTCCATTCCAGTTATTGTCAGTCATCATTTCCAAAAGATTCTGCATCTTCTATAAAGCTTGATTTGGAAGCAGACTGATTTATGGCATGATAAGCTACATTTAACAGAACTTATGTACATATTTAGATTTGTTACTTAAAATTGGGTATATCTTTTTCAACATTTTATTTGTAAAGATATTTTATTCTGTGAACTTTCTAGTAATGTATTAAGTTCAGTTCAGCTTTAAAGGAAAATTTTTCTAGAACATCTTTTAAGGATATTATCTCCTCTGTTTCAAAATAACAAGCTTTTTAAGCAATCGAAATTTTGACGGGAAATGATCTTTCTAGACTTTTCATACATTTAGCACTTGCACCTTTTTTCTTTTAAAAACTATGAAAAAATGGATTTTATAAGATTTTCAAAAACGAGTTTTAAAACTTTATATTGTTAAATTTTGAAAAGAAAAGTAGGGGTTAGCGGGCAACATTTTTTATGGCACTATATTGATAAAACTAGAGGATTACGAATATCTGAATTGAAGAGTCAAAAACAAGAGTAGATAACATCTTAATATATTTTTGACAGTGTATCACAGATGATCTCTTGTAAACTATTACATGGTAACTCTCAAACAGTTTTCTCATTGATTATTTTTTCTATATTGTGTGTAAAGGTTTACCTTGGGTACTTATCTTTGTTCTAGGGTTATAGTAATTCTAAAGAAAATGTATGTTTAGCATATGGGATGTCTATGCAGAATAATTGCATAATTAACAGTAAAAAGTATATGTTTGTTTTGCATGTAATTACGTAAATTATTTTGACATGTCATGGTGTAATTAAGTAATTAAACTTTCACTTTTTAAGAAATTTCATGCATTTGAAGTTATAATACTGCAAGAATGATTATTTCATGTACAAAAAATGGAGAGCAGATACTGAAATAAGTTTACTACATTAAGACTAATGTTACTGCAATAATCATTTTAAATTTTGAAACCTAAAATTCATATGATAGGTTATGATGTACCTTTAAAAGATTTTTTAAATGATTTTATACAGTTTCATGCTTTGGTTAAGCTAAGGAGCAGTATGTAAACAAGTATTGGGAATACCTTTGTGGTTAACATAGGGGAAAGTCCAACATATCATATATATTTTGTGTTTATGGTAAAATGAGCTGAAAGAATTGAATTAAGACTAAGTCTGCAGTAAGTAGTCAAATTGTACTAAGACTGAGGTTGCAATTCATTCAGGGAAAGTTGATATAGATGGTTTTAGCTGTCCTGTTGAGGCCCTTTTGATTTAGACATTTTTTACTGTCTTGTTGAGGCCCTTTTGATTTAGACCGTTTTGGTTGTCCTGTTGAGGTCCTTTTGATTTAGACATTTTTGACTGTCTTGTTGATGGCCTTTTGATATAGACCGTATTGACTGTCCTGTTGAGAACCTTTTGATATAGAAGGTTTTGGCTGTCCTATTGAGGTCCTTTTGATATCTATAGATGGTTTTAGCTGTCCTGTTGAGGTCCTTTTGATTTAGATGGTTTTAGCTGTCCTGTTGAGGTCCTTTTGATTTAGATTTTTTTTTACTGTCTTGTTGAGGCCCTTTTGATTTAGACCGTTTTGGCTGTCCTGTTGAGACCCTTTTGATATAGACGGTTTTAGCTGTCCTGTTGAGGTCCTTTTTATATCTATAGATGGTTTTAGCTGTCCTGTTGAGGTCCTTTTGATTTAGATGGTTTTAGCTGTCCTGTTGAGGTCCTTTTGATATAGATGATTTTAGCTGTCCTGTTGAGGTCCTTTTTATTTAGATAATTTTAGATGTCCTGTTGAGGTCCTTTTGATTTAGACGGTTTTAGCTGTCTGTTGAAGCCCTTTTAATTTAGATGGTTATGGCTGTCCTGTTGAGGCCCTTTTGATTTAGACGGTTTTTGGATGTCCTGTTGAGGTCCTTTTGATTTAGACAGTTTTTGCTGTCCTGTTGAGGCTATTTTGATTTAGATCCTTTTAAAGGTTTTATATTTTTGAATTTTCAAACTCTTGGTCTGAAGAGTACCAGATGAAGATTATTATACAATTGTAATGGGCAAGGAAATTTGTTTTTAGCACACTATAGAAAATTTGCACCATTTTTTTTTTAATACATTGAGACAGACTTTTTACTCAATCTTAGAAAACACCAACTTTAAAGCTTTTCTTTCAGTGTTTAAGCTTTAGTTTATATATACATGTACAATGATTAAAAAGAAAAATATTTAGTTTCAATCAGTAGAATAGTTTGTACTCTTGAATAAGATAATACCCTAACATTTCACCAGTGGCTACCTAATTTACAGATTATGTTGATCCAATGTAGAGGCAATACTTTCTTGTTTACACA